TATCGTTCATAATCTTATAATGAGCCTTACTATCTTCTTCATAAATTATGCAGCTATTCACCAACTCTGGAAATCTACAGATCCACTAATCTCCAATCGCTCGCATGATTTCTGGATGAAACCCATTTTCAAACTTGACACACTTTGAGAATTTAGCAGTCGCTTCACTATAATACAAATAATACTTTTCCCGTTCCACAAACCTCGAAGCATACCCAGTCACAATCAGATTCCCTTGTTTCAACTCTAGGAACTCAATCTCTTTCTTCTCGCGCACATCCTCGGGAAAGTACTTTCTCATAAACTCTCTACTCAACACAGACCAAGTAACAACTTCACCCATCGCGGCTAGTCTCTGACGGGTGTTGACCCACCAGTCATCGGCTTCCTCTACTAGTGTATGCGTACCAAACCACATCTTATGTGCCTATGAGAAATCCATGAACCAAAAGATACTTTCAATATCCTTGAGCCAAGTCTGCGCTCCTTCAGAATCATACCTACTCTTGAAAGTAGGAGGATGGTTCCTCTGAAACGTCTCCAAGATACGTGATCCATCATTCCCACCAGCACGAGGTTGTTGTTTCACAACCTGAGAAACAGCCTACAAAGCAACAGTAATTGCAACATCGTTTCTTCCAGCCATTCTACACATAGGAAAACTAACTTTAGAAAACAACGTATCAATAGTGTACTCACACTAATAAACCGACATGACATGCACATCATAAGAAAATCTGGTCGGACAAACCGACCTGGTCTGATACCACTAATGTAACACCCTTCTAAAACCCACGAATATTTCATGAAATATTTAATATTAATAAAATATAAATCACCAACAAGGATGTTACATCTTCATATAAACATAAATATAAAAACATCCTGCTCCGTAACACGAGTGTTCAAATCATTTATAAAATCATCTTAATAAAATCAACTTATAAATTAACTTCATAGCGGAATATTAGTATCACATAACTTCATTCATTTCATCAAAAGACTTCAAGACCTTTGGTCATAATCTAAAGTCGATATCAAAATAACTCATCACATAACAAAATTCTTAAAACATGTTTTTAAAACAATAACAACTTCAGAATCCAAATGTTCCAAAAACCCTGATGTTACATATCAGAGAAATACCATCTTTATTCAACATGAATAAATGATACACTTCGAAGTTATCCTCTTAGCTTCAATAGACTATTCTTGATCACCTTCAAGTTACCCACGTATCGAGGCAACATTTCCAAGCAAAAAGGGTGAGTAATAACAAATCATTATAAGAGATACAGAACAAATGTAGTAGTTACAACACACTAACATGAAACCACATATAATCATATATTACTTATTATACTCATGTCTTCACATCACTAATTCATTCATAATATCATCATGTTATCAAATCAACAATAATCACTAAGACATCGTTAAGCCACACATCATCAAAACACCACTTAATCAATTATCATGCAATGTCACATAGAATGCAATGTATCATCATTGACTCATGCATATGGTACCAAACATCACTATGACTAAGTTATCTTCCCCACCATAGGATCGATTCTCGCTTGGAACTGTAGCACTTCACAATATTACACTCAATCCATACTATGGGATTGAGGCCATCACTGGACCAATATCCTATCAACATCACTAGACCAATATCCTAATATATGCCATGAATGAATGATGCACAACAACATCATAAAACATGACCACTGCTAGTCAAAACACACCATCATTCATGTAATTCATTATAATACCACCAAACACTTCATAATAAACAATGCCACATCATAATCACATCAATTCATCATAGCAAACATACATCATGTTACGCCAATGCATAATCACATCATTTTATAATAGCACAAGCATTGGAAAAATACATCATATAGCTCATTTTATTCCACATGAGTATAGTTCGTCATGTTAGCTTTCTAACACTTCGAACGACCGAAGGAGAAGATTTCTCGCCCGAGGCTCGCCCGATGATGCTGGGGAAAAGCACCTTCCCCCGTATAAAATTCCAGGAGCACCTCATTTTCACCCTTCCTTAACCTCCTTACTCACCCGACGAGCTCGCGCTCGCCGCTGCTTCGCCCGACGAAGTTGGAGCAAGCCTACTCCTCCCATGCATTTTTCAAGGGCTCTGTCCCCCCCCCAGGTCTCTCGCTTCACTCTCTCTCGACGCATCAAAGGAGAAGTCACTTCGCCCGGCGATGATACGCAATTAAGAACTTCCTGTTGCAATTTCTACACTTAACCAGTCCTAATTTCCACACGATTTCAATTCCCATTCAGTCTAAAATTCTCATAATTTACATGTTTTCACAATACAACAAAAACATGTCATAATAGGAATCATATACTTCATTTTATGGCATTACAACATTAATCGATCACCAATTAAATAATTTATTTCATCACAACCATCATATTAACAAGTTCATCATAAAATCCCAAATAACCTATGTACATCTAAACCCTATATCATTTATAATAATCGGATAACTCCCCTTACCTTAGATTCCTAGCAGCATGCTTAATTCTCTTTCTCACGTTCTATCGAGCTCTACCTCTTGCATCTCTGTGTCCTAGCTTTTCCTCACTGCTCCACTTCCCAATTTCATGATTTCCAGAATAAAACAATGACACTCTCTTTTCCTTGTTTAACCCTTGGACCCTTTCAATGGTCTTTCTATTTTACCCTCACTTATTCCTTCCCCAATTACCACCTTGCTTTTATTATCTCTACACAAATATTATTCTATTTAATTAATAAAATAAATCTAAATAATTATTATTAAATCTAAATAATTCTCCGATAATTATTTAAATCCTAAATATCTCACATTATCTCCTTAACACACTACTAACCCACCACGTAGTATCGACAAACATCATAATGCATCTTATAAATCATCAAGACATCACATATTCATAATCATTTCAAAAATATTCATCATAAATCAGAGAGAATCAGAGATCTGGATTTTGGAAAATTGCAGTTAAGATGGTGTTCAATTGAATCGACTGCAGTATCTCTTCATGTTTGTAACACCATATTTCTCCGTCGGTAATTTATATAATAATCAGAGTAAATTAATTTCTAAATAAACATCAATCAAATAGGATGTCACCTATTTCACCAATCATACATGCTCAAATTAGGATACGCAACACAATTCATGTATTCAAAAGTCTTAAACTTCAATGCATTTATTCGCAGCGGAAAACATCAAATAATTAATCATCTCGGTCCTCCAACCGGAGTTATAAATATAATCCTTTGCACATCAATATAATCATAAAACAATTCAAAAATAAAAGAGTAACACACGTTCACTCCTAATCAAGATAAAACAAATCACGCGAAACCCCTAAGTGTTATGTATCAGAACGAACACCGACTCAATCTACGTAATTGAAGGAACTCCTCAGATAACTTCCGATCTCTAGCTACTTCGGGTCATTTGGACGTTACCCACGTGGAGGTAACATTCAAACAGAAAGGGTGAGATATCATAATAATATAAGAGAAAACATAATGATAAGCAGGTAAGATTCAAGTACATAATCAACACATAACATACATCATAATATAATACACACTTTCATTAATCTTCGCATAATTCACCGCATCGTCTTATTATTTAATTAAAAAATAATTTTAATTAAATCGAGGTGTTATAGCATTCATCTCTTAACGCTCTTGATTTGGAATCTTGAAGGTTGCGCACGATGAAATTGAAAAGCGATTGTGAATTCTCGAAAAGTGTAGAAATTGGAAATTGATTTGTTCTTGTTCCGATGACCTAAGAAGACTATGAACATGTAAGTCAGTTAGATATGAAATCATAGAAAATTGTAGGAATCAGAAGTTAATTCCCACAAATGGCGTCATTGTTCTGTTTGAGAACTAGAAATGAATGCAGTTAAACTGGTGATTTTGAATGGTGGCTTTAATCTCCTTTTATGATGGTATGAGGTGAACCTGCATGGCTAGCACTCCAACACCCAATCCAGTTAAAGATTTAAGATGAATATAATGAAAAATGGAGATTAGAGATTGTACCTTATTCTTAACGTGTGAACCGATTTTATATCATAGATAAAATGGAATAGATTTAAGATAGATTGGACCTTGATTATTTGGTCTTTTGACTGGTCCAAAAACAAAAGGATATACAATATATAATTTATTAATAACTATTTAATTTTGTATACAATTTATCCTTTATAAAAAAAATTAGTTTATTTTTACATCATAATATTAGTTAATAGATTTTATATAAAAAAAAGTATAAATAGTTATTACTAAAAAATAAAATAAAAGGAGAGTAATGTAGTAAGACTATTAATTTAAAGCAGAAGGAGTATTTTCTTATCTCAAGTTACTTTAACATTCCAATAAAAATATTTATATTTCTTTCAATGGACTTAACTTTATTTATCTTTATTGAAAAATATATTTGTAAATGCAAAGTGGTCGATAGTAAATGAAAGCACAAAATATTCCAGATGTAATATCTTTATGTATAATAAAAACTATATCTTCTCACCAATAAAGATTTGAGAAATATATATAAGGTGTAATGAAAAATTCCCTATTTTCTATGAAATTCTTATTCTATCTCAGTTTGATTCTTGGTGCAAATACTAGCTACCTTTTTTCTTTTTGTAGCATCACAGTATGAAACATCTGGAACCAAGTGGTTATTTATACTTAATTTAGGATTATCTTACATAGTTACTTCAATAAATTTACCAAAGATTTGAAATATGCATATGACAGAAACAAATAACAAAATGACTATATAACTAAACGATTATCATCTAAAAATACTTTTCTTTTTCATGTCTAAACCACTCTAACTAACAAAGAAGCTAGAAAGCATTACATTTACACCTTCTAAACCTCCGTTTCTCTCACTCTTATCTATGCACCAACATTGATTGTCAAATGCCCTTTCTAATAGCTCATCTCACCACAGATGATTCGCACTCGCACCACGGTAATTGTCCATGAATTCGATCGGTTTATAAGATGGATTCGCCTGCAAAAATATCGAATCTCCTAACCTGTGGCAGATATAGTTATGTAAAGAATAACACAAAATAACACAAGCTTCGACCACAAAGATAATGGAACTTACAATAGGCTTCGAGGGTATGCAGACAGGTTAATGCTCTTCGTCCGCGAGGGACCATACCAAGCTAAAATATTTTCAGATAAAAAATCAATCACAGCTTTTTCTTTAAGATAATGCAGGATAGTTTTAAAAAAAAAAAAAAAGTTTTAATCACAATACCTCAATATAGAAAGGACAAATATGAGAACAAGATGTGCAACTTTGAAGAGACGTTTCTTTTTCTCGAAATTTAGCTTATTGTAGATTTCAGTAACATCTGCATAGTGTTGTGTTTTGACGTACCTGATATTAGTTTCCAAGTCAGATGAGGTGTGATAAAACCCCTTGGCAGAAGAGTTAAATATCAAACTCTATATGATTCATGCGAAAGCATTAAAAGAATAACAACTATTTAGGGTTATGAGAAAACTTACAAGGAGGCGTTGTAATAGAGACAAGGGAGAGATATCAAGAATATAAACCAATGTCCTCCAAAAAGATTGAGAAAACAAAAGATTGCTTGGATGAAAAACTCTGGCAAGATAACCTGGTTTATCCTAAATGTTGAATCATACGGATTTATATAATCAAACTCCAAGTCCACCAACAATATAAGCTACAATTAACATTCGAGAGACAAAATCAATGTGACTGAAACATGTAAAAACCAATTTTATATAATGTAAAATGAATTTTGATCTATAAAAACCAAAAACTTACATGATCGATGAACACATAGAATTATAAATAAAAAACTGTAACAAGTGGAATGCGATGTACCTGGTAACCGAGGAGACAAAAAAGGGTCAAAATTAGAACAAAAGATAGTATCCAATAAAACACTTCCGCCATAACATCCGCCGCTGCATGCCTCTTTCTGTTTCTCCTTCTACTTTGTTTTTCTTAAACTAACTTCCTTATTTTTCGGAAATCTAGTTTTTATTTTTTAACCTCCTTTCTTTCTATTTATTTATCTTTCCTTTTCAAAATTTAGTTTCATATATATATATATATATATATATATATATATATATATATATATATATATATATATATATATATATATATATATATATATATATATATATATATATATATATATATATATATATATATATATATATATATAACAGTATAAAAAGACTAATCTACTTTAATATAATATATATTATATAATTATATTATTACATTATATAATATTATGACAATCGTCACACCAATAACGAATCAATACTATGAAAAAGAGAGAAACTTTTCAATTCACGATGAGAAAGAAGAGGGAAAAGAGAGAAATATAATTGGTTATAACTGTTTTTCTATTCACTTTCTTAATTAAGGCTAAGTGATTACAAATAAATAACAACCACCAACTTCTCCCAACAAGCTTAGAGAACAACCTATTTATAGACTACTAGATATGTATGTCACTACAAGAAAGAATGAAATTTGCCAGAGGATTTAGCCAGGGGTTAAACACTTGAGAAAAAAATAAGGTTGCTTGGGGTATAGCCCCTCGCAAAGCGCAGATTAGGAAAAAAAATAAAAAACAAACCGCGTGGGGTTACCCCTCGCAAAATTAAACAAGGGAAATTTTGAATTTTAAAATATTGATTTGCGAGGGGCACACTCCTAGGAAAATAAATGGGCGCGCAAACCCCTGCATTTTGTGACGGGCAACCCCAAGCTAACTGCCAACGTGACAATAGCGAGGGGCTACCCCACGCCAGCTAGACAACTTTAGTCTAGTCATGACAGTGTGTAGACTGCACGTGCAGGAGACTGTTTCCAAGAAAGAAATTAGCGGCGGGCTACCCCACGCGAGCTTTGACCGTTTCAATTCCGTGGGGCAACCCCTCACTAAAATTAACACCATTCTACCGCTTCAGTTATTTATTCCTTGTTATAATTTTGAACATTTCATATCTTTCTCTTCTCTTCCATCAAGCCATACCAATATTGCAGTATTCCTCTTCTCATTATTTTCCCCAAATTAAACCTAAAATTTCAATCACAATCTTCACACAAATATTTCAGGTAAATATATTAAATTATTTTGTTATGTATTTAATTTATTTTCAATGTTAGTGTGTAATATAATTTTTGTTTTCGGGTATTAATTGATATATCAAATGGGAGCTAAATTTTACAGAAACTTCAAGAAACTTTAAAAAAAAATTATTCATCAATTTCAGGTTCTTTATGTAAAATTTTTGTTTTGTGATATATTTATAGATATATTTGTGTATATATTTGTTATGATATTTGGTTTATAAACTGGAGAAAAAAAATTTAATTATTTTTGAAATTATTTATATATAGAATAATTGAAAAAATTTATTAGTTTTTGATATATGTGATATTTGATTTATTTATTGTTTTTTTAATAACTGAAAATATATATATATATATATATATATATATATATATATATATATATATATATATATATATATATATATATATATATATATATATATATATATATATAGAATAGTTGAAAAAATATATTATTTTGTGATATATATTAAAAAATAGTATATATATTTAAAAAAAAAAAACAGAATTCATAATAAATATGTTTGAAAAATAATATTTATAATAAATATGTATGTATAAAAATAGTATGTGTTATACCCAAAAATTTTCCCTCCCTTTTCTCAAGACATTTCTTACAAAAGTTCTCAAATGTTCAAGGATTCTCAAGAGTTAATCAGACAAGCTCACCCCTTAAGCATTGGGTTCACAGCTAGGGCTTTGGTTTTCTCAAGGAAAATTGGACTTCTAATGCCCCAAGTGACTTTCATGGTTCATCATAAGTCTCAAAGAATGCTCATACCAAGTTTCAAATCTTGCATCACAAATTTGCTAAGTCAATTGCTCAGATGACTGGAAATCAACTGTATTGGATAAAAAAGTCAAATGTGGTCAACATACAGTCAAACTTCAAATTTTTTTGCCAACATCAACATTTTGATGTGATATTCATCATTTGATCAAGGGTTGATCATAATTCCTCAAGGAAAGCACTCAAATCATCAAAAGGGCAAAATTGTCAAATTAGGATTTTAATTGAGAATGACTGATCATTGACTTTTGACATAGCACATGACCTAATGACTTGAAGCATGATCTTAAGGACTCAAACACAACATATTGACCTAATTACATTCTAAAGGTGCAAGAGATTGATAGTTGAATAATTGAGATCAATTGATGAAAAGTCAATTGTCACACAAAAGTCAAACTTTAACTTTTTGGTCAACTTTGAACTTCAAAGGTTAAGAGTCATCAAAACACTCAAATTTGTCAATCTTGATCAACAAGAATCACAAAGTCAACAAAAAGTCAAAATTTCCAATACTTAGAAAATTTCCAAGTGTTTTGTCCTTAATAAATTCACTACTTCATGACCATTTTTCACTAAGATACAAGATGATTCAAGGAAAGCTTTCAACATGAAAGTTGTAGAGCATGATAAATTCTACAACTTTGAACTTGAGGGATGATGTCCAAAAAAATCTTGGATTAGGAGATATAGGCCCATGAAGTCATGACATTTTTATCTAACACTTGGAGAAATTTTCAACAAGTTTGGTCAGATTTTTGTCCCAACTTCTTGGCAATTTTTCACCAAGTTCTAAGTTGATTAAGCCAAAGTGGTCAACATGAAAGTTGTAGAAAATGTTTCAAGATTTCCAAAATGTCCAAGAACACATTTTTATCACGCTTGACCAAGGAGATACGAAAAGATGAAGTTAGACATCCATTCTTGAAATACAAGTCATTTTGTGATGAATATGAGATCAAATCTCCAAGCCATGCTGCATAAATCTTGCTTTGCAGGCTTCTAACTTGCAAGTTTCACCATAATTAAATGTTTACACAATTGATTGAATCATTATCCAAGTATTCAATTCATTTTCCAAGTGCTTATTCCATTTTTTGCACAAAGTTAACATTGTCATTCTTGCAAAGTAGCTTTAATCACAAAGTCAACTCTTCTTGAGCATATAACTTGCTCCTTCTGCATACACTCAATATACAAGATCAGATAAGCATGCTTAAAGTATTCAATAACTCTATGAAGAAAAGTACAAAGCATTGGAACTATCATCTTCAAATTTGCTTCATTTACAATCTAACCTAGCCATAACATATGATCTTGCAAATCTGATCAATCCTTGTCCTCAAACCTCTTGCCTATAAATAAAGGAAGTATTTGCAAGATAACACCCCTTAAACCCCCCTCAATCACTCCCAAAGTCAGAATTACCTTAAAACTCCATTTTTTGTAAGTTTTTGACCTTGAACATTAAACACCTAATCCACTCGTGCGTTTTCATTTTAAATCATTCACAAAGCTTCTATAACTCATATAGAACTTATCCAAGGCTCTGTTTCATCATTGTAACATCATCTCCATCATCCTCCATTTTTAAAACAGAGCCCTGCAACTTGACTTGTCCAGAAGAGTTGAGGCATTCTCAATCCAAAGTAAGTATTACAATAGCTTCCTGGGAGTTCAGTGAAGCTATTCAGATCATCACAACATCTCCAGGAGTGCTCCAACTCCATATTCGATTCTCACTTTATAGGTAAGTTTTTCTAACTTTGAAATCCTTATTTAAGCATCATTTGCATCTGCTTTTAAAAGATAAAATGTAGATATCATACCTATGAAGCTAACCATGTCCTTAGTTTTCATTTTTATTGACTGAATGATGTGAATTTTGGATTTGAAGTTTCTGAGAAATTAGGGTTCAGTTTGGTACCAATATAAATTCATGACTATCTTTGAGTGTTAACTTAAATTATTTACATGTCTGAATTCATGTTGAGATTTAGAACAAGTTTGGTGTTTACAGTTTTTGAAATGATTGAGAAATGAAGTAGTTAGCATTTTCACAATTTTAGTTGTTATTGATGGTCGCGCGAAGAAGATGAAGTTGCATCTTCAAACATTCAGAAATGAGTTTATTTTATATTTAATATTTTTTCTATAATGACCGGATGAAACAGCCACCCTAGTGGTAAAGGAAGCGCACGCATGTCCATAGAGACCTGGGTTCGAGCCCCAACGGTATCCTTTTATTTGTTTCATATTTTCCTCTTTCAAATCCAATGCAAACAGGTTCAACACGCGCATGGTGTTCCTCTCACCATCACCACATGATCATCACTATGCCAGATCACACGCCCCAGAAGGCAAATGCATGATACACCTTCAAGAGCTCAACCTCACTGAACCATACAGTGCTTGGGCTTAGTTATCCTGGGCCTCTTTGCTTTTGCTTGATAACACCCCCAATTTACTTTCATAACGCAGAACTATTTTTCTTTTTTGTCTTTATTTTCTGCTTCAAAGAAAAACTGCTTTTTGGACCTAACATTTTCTTTTTAACACCCCCCCCCCCCAATTTCCTTTTACTAACGCCAGGCCCAATCTTTTTTTATATTTTATTTTCTTTACTTTTATTTATTTATTTCATTTAATTAAAATACAAAAATATAATTTTTATTTATAAAATTTAGATTTAGGTTTTTTTAATTAATTAGTCAATTTTATTTTTGACAAAATTGATTTATTTTAATCACCCTAAGAATTAAGTTATACTTCAAATATCTTTTCAAAATAAAGCATCAAAAATATTTTTCTAAACAATCAGTTTCTTTTTTTAACTTAGACCTTGTTTTTTTTCTTCAATTAAATTAATTTTCCTTTTAATTAATCATCAAACCTCTTTCTAAACAAAAACAATAATTTATTTTCTTAACACTTAAAATCGTTTTTAGGGTTTCTAAAAACATTCCCCTTTTCTTATCATCTTCGCACATTTTATCTTTCATCTTTA